TCTCTTTCCTTCTCAGTGATTTAATCTTAAGGCTTTAAATATACTCTCCATAAACTGATTACTCCCAATTTTATTTCTTCAGCTCAGACCTTCCCTGAACCCCTGACTTCTACAGTGGTTCCCTGAGCCCCTACTTCTACCCCTGAGCTACCTACTCAAAAGCTCAGTTCAGGCACCACACATCTCAAACACCACCTTCAGAATCAGCCCTACAAGATGATATTTTGAGGGGTGATGGACAAAGTCATTATCTTGATTGGAGTAATGGCTTCATGGGTGTATAACTATTGAAAAACTTATCAAATTGAACACTTTTTAAAAATGTGCAAGTTTTTGTACATTGACTCTATTCAATAAAATTAGGAGGCAAGGGCAGCACCTGTGGCTCAGTGAGTAGGGTGCCAGCCCCATATACCAAGGGTGGTGGGTTTGAACCTGGCTCCGGCCAATGCAACAAAAAACATCTGGATGTTGTGGTAGGCGCCTGAAGTCCCAGCTACTTGGGAGGCTGAGGCAAGAGAATCGCCTAAGCCCAAGAGCTGGAGGTTGCTGTGAGCTGTGACACCACAGCACTCTACTGAGGGTGACAAAAAAAAATTAGGAGGCAAGTACAAAACATTTTCCTGATCTAAATAAAGTGATGCAACATGTTTGTAAATGTTACTGTCTTCAAATGATGAACTTCATGTGTATTCTGAAATACCTTTTCCAATACTCTTGAAGATAACTATAATTAAGTAGTCATAACTAACAAAATCCCCAAATAGCTTTGATTGTACTCTACTTGATTTGGGATTCTCGGAGATTAAATCATTATTTCCTATTATGACTCAGATAAACTCAGCTACATTGGTGCTGGGACCTCAGCAGTAGACTAGTAGAAAGGGGAGGGCAGGACTCATGAGAATGAGACCAAGGAATCTGGTTCTCATATTGAAAAGGTATTGCTTTCCCTAACCCAAAATGGCCCCAAAACTTTCAAAGCCTCATGTCAGACTTGGGCTTCATCTGACCACTGTACATACCCCAATATGTAAGACCAGTGGGGTGGAGCAAGAGATGAAACAGTGGCAATATTCAGTATCTAAGTACTTAAGTACCCAAACTCCAGAGCCAACCTTGAGAAGATGGGGAGCATCTCGATCCCAGGGAGGAAATTAAGCAGACTCCTAGTAGGCTGAGATTCAAACAGACTCAAATCCTACCTGGGGAACCCATATAAAAACCACAAAAATGGCTAAAAGCTTTTTCACACACACTGGGCAAACAAGGATTGTGAGGTGTTAAATCAGAGGACACTTGATTAGGAAGCTAAGCACAGTAGATACTAGGTTTCTAGCAAGAGAACTAATTTGAGAAAGTATCAAATGGTAGGTTTGAGTTTACTATATTTTAAGATTATCTGGTGTAAGGCAGAGGGAAAAGATTCCTACTGGCTAACACTGCTAAAGCCTGGCATGTAGGTTTTTTGTCTTGTTTATTATTTTATTTTATTATTTTTTTTTTTTGAGACAGTCTCACTATGTGGCCCTTGGTAGAGTGCTGTGGCATCACAGCTCACAGCAACCTCAAACTCTTGGACTTAAGCAATTCTCTTGCTTCAGCCTCCCAAGTAGCTGGGACTACAGGCACCCGACACTATGTCCAGCCATTTTCTTGTTGCAGTTGTCATTGTTATTTAGCTGGTCAGGCTCAAATGCCAGCTTCAGTGCATGTGGCTAGCACTGTAACCACTGTGCTACGGGCGACCAGCCTTATCTAGTTTTGTTTTTGAGACAGGGTCTCACTGTTGCATAGGCCATAGTATAGTGGCATGATCATAGCTCATGGCAACCTTTAACTACTGGACTCAAGTCATCCTCCTGCCTTAGCCATTGTAGTAGCTAGGACTATAGGCACATGCCACCATGAGTGGCTGTTTTCTTTCGTGGGGGAACGAAGTGTCTCACTATGGTGCCCAGGCTGGTCTCAAGCAATCCTCTTACCTCTGCCAAAGTGCTTGGGATTAAAGGCATCAGGCACTGCACTTAGCCTGCTCTTTTGAAACCGGTTGGAACCTATTATATCCTGGTCTATTGTAGCCATAGACCATTAGGTCTTTAAGACTCTTGAATTGTTTGCTAAGTTACAGTTATACCCTGATAGGCAAATTCTCTATGCAACTAACAACTTAAGGTCCTTGATCTTAACTACTATTGTTTTAGTAACAAAATGTTATTACCTAGTCAGTACTGGCAAATTAGGTGACTGAGACTAACACTCCTGCAGTGCTTGAAAAATGCCATCTAGATGTTTATTAAAATGTCTGGATCACTTCAATGAAAATTGATTGTTAACTGCATATGGTGAGCTTACAAGTGTACTTCCAGCTTCCTACTGAAAATGTTTCAGGATAGGGATGACACAATGGCCTCATTTCTAATTTCCTTGCTCAAAAATCTTAGCAGAGGTACTTAATGTGTTAGCCTTTTGTCCCCCATCTATTCAACTTTTGGCAACCAAATTAATACAATTTCTCATTCTCAGGCTCTGGGCCATACTCTTTTTTGCTGAGTGTTTCATACCTAAATGTATTTTCCCCACATTTGAGTTGGGTTTGATTCATTCCACTTGTTCAATTTCTTCTAGTTCAGTAATTTTTTTCTTTTGTTTTTAAGAGATAGAGTCTCAGTTTATCACCCTCGGTAGAGTGCTGTAGTGTCACAGCTCACAGCAATTAACTCCGGGGCTTAGGCAGTTCTCTTGCCTCACTCAGCCTTCCAGAGTAGCTGTGATTACAGGGGCCCACCCCAAGGGCTGGTTATTTTGTTGTTGCAGTTTAGCTGGGGCCAGATTTGAACCCACCACCCTTGGTATATGGGGCCAGCACCCTACTCACTGAGCCACAGGTGCTGCCTGAGTTCAGTGATTTTCAAATGGCATGCCAAGAAAATTTCTAAAGATCATTATTTTTTCAAATAAGTTCAAAGCACAGTAAGTATGTCTTTTTTTTTGGATCAGTATAATTTAAGTGAGCCACAGAAGTTTAACTATAGGCTCAAGTGTGCATTCAGATTAAAAAAGATTGGGCACTGCTCCAGTTATTTGTGGTTTTTATCTTTTCATAGCTGACATTTTTTTCTTGGCATCATGTGCCACTGTTGACACAAAGTAAAAGTGTTTTCAATTCTAATCTCCTTGGCTGAGCCTACAGTATAGTGCATAAACTAAGAGTACTAATTTGGATACCAACTAAGGAATCGTGACATTATAAGATCTATTGGTAGGCAAGGGAAGTAAAAACAGAAGCAACTACAGGAAGAGGTCAGAGGGCTCCAAAGCTAAGTTGTCAATTTCACAACTTTGCCTTGTTTGGAAGTATTTGCCAGGCTTGAGAAAAGGGTAATGGAAGTTTTCCCTTTAAGTTTGGTGTGGGAAATCAACAAAATTTTTACTGTACAATATTCAGGGCCTTGCTGTGTTCTAGGTACTTAGACATGTCAATGAATTAAACAGTTCATGGCCTTTAAATTGCAAACTTTAGAATTTGAAGCATAAATTGTAGCAGAAGAGAATAGACACAATTTATAGAGCACATCACAAAATTTCAAGTATAGCAGGGCAAGGGGGCTGAAAAAAAGCAAAGAAAAGTTTTTACTGCATTTTATGTACACCGTCTTATTGAATCCTCATGTGAGGGTGCATTTTTATTTGCAAAAGGCAACATAGCCCCCCTCATTCTATTTGGTAGTATTAAGATTCAATTACATATATAACCCGTACTGGTAAATCGCTTTTCCTTCCTATTTAGCAAGCCTTGGTATTGAATGCCCCCAGATAAGTTGGTAAATTACCTATTTAGATTGGCTAGCTCCCTCAAATTTCATAATGAACAGAACATGCAAGACCTATAGTAAAATTCCCTGGAAATTACATGACCATTTTTTCCTGGAATACTTGACCATCAAGTTTAGTTCACTAGTGATCTCTGGTACTTAACTGTTAAGATAACCTAAACATTTACACTTTGCATTTCAATATGGCTGCAAGAAACATTTCTTGAGACAAACAGATTTGGGAAAGGTAATGGGATTCATTGTAACAAGTTGACAAATTTTTACATTTATTCATTTACTTTTTTGAGTCTCACTTTGTCACCATTGGTAGAGTGCTAGTCACAGCTCACAGCAATCTCAAACTCCTGGGCTCAAGTGGTCCTCTTGCCTCAGCCTCTCAAGTAGCTGGGACTACAGGTGCCTGTCACTACACCTGCCTATTTTTATACAGGTTCTTGCTGTTGCTCAGGCTGGTTTTGAACTCCGGAGCTCAAGCAATCCAACCGCCTTTGCTTCACAGAGTGCTAGGATTATAGGCATGAGCCACCTGTGCCCAGTGACAAGTGTTTTTTAAAACAATGACACTTGTTAAAAAAATCTGGGCTTGGTAGCAATTTACTCATGTAGTTATTTGCGGGAAATGACCATGTAAGAGGGGTCCAACCAACTATGTTAGATCAGACACTATTACTGTTCACACTGAATCTATTCTGAATGTCTTATTATGGACCTTCTTTCACAATTCTCATTAACCACTCATATAGCACTGTGCAGTGCTATAATTTTCAGTATCCCATTTCTCAGTAGGCACCAGTATGTACAATATTACATTAAAACTAAATATTTCATAATTTGTTAACTATTTACTTCAATGCCTGGCATTCTTTCCCCCAGTAATTCCTGTCTCTTCCTTTTGTTCTCACCTACCTCAATAAAGGAATACTCAGTACCCAGGGCAAAGCCATGGTATTATTCCATGCCTTATTTTTGCAAAGCAATTGCCAAAGTGATTCATCTCTTTTTTTATAATTTCTTCATAAAAACTCTAAGTATTCTCCCACAAGCCAGGGTAAAATTTCACTGTCTTAAATATAATTGTGCATTTTGAGTTCAATCACATAACTAAAGGTAAAGCACTCATTCAGAATAAGTAGATTATAAGGGTGGTTGGCTGAAAGCAAAGAATTTTCCATAAACATTACATGATTTATTGACAAAAGAAAAATCAATATGATCAAAATTTCCTTTCATGTTGGGAAAATGAAGAGCTTTTTCTGGATGTCTTTGTTATCACCAGCTTTTCACATAAGAGACCAGCAAACTTCACCGTACTGGTCCTACAAAAAGAAAAAAGAAAAACATGAGATTTACCAGACAGCCAACATTACAATAGCTGATATGAAAACATTAAAAAAAAATTACTGCCCTTACAATGGTCCATCTCAGAAGCCAGATCCGTGTAGTTTTTTTCAACAGAAATTCAGGTTCGGGATAGGATCATCACAGATAAGACCAAGGACGCAACATTCACTAAAATTGCTAAGCAAAACAATAAAACTCCACTCACAGAAATTGCTGCAATGTAGGAATTTCACAGAAAGCCGTCGTCTTTGAATTGGCAGACAGCGACCCTCACTGTTGGCAGAGAAAAAGCAAGTACCATGAGCTATTGTGAACTTTACTCTTATAAACAAAAATTTATCTTATTCCTGAATATGGGTCGGCTCTTAGAAGCCGAATTCGTCTGTGCTTTTCTTCAGGTAATCAGTTTCGGGGTTCTGCTTCGTCACTGAGCAGCCAGTCGCGCCTCATACGTGCACATGATACATGGACTGTACCTCAGTTATTTCCAACCACATACCAGTTACAAAGGCCCAAGCGCTGCAGAGCCGCCACGGAACTTACACAGGCAATTCACGTCAGAAGCCGCGCCACCTACACCTCCGACCCGCAGCTGCATTATCCAGCGTCCAGAACGCCAGGAGACAAGTCGTCCACTCAGTCCACGCGCGAATTGGACGTGCTCGTGCGACACGTCCGCGGTAGGAGAGTCGGATCTTTCCATTAACTATTCTCCCACGTTTCTGGAACTTTCTCACTCATCAAATTACAAAAATTAAAATGACACGTGAGTCTCTATTCCTGTACAGCACTGAGCAAGTGCGCTCAGCCCAGACACTGACCGTAACCGCCGTCACCTCTCCGTCCCGCGTGATTTGCGCGGCGCCACGGCTTAGGGCTTTTCCTGCCTGGCCCCCTTCGTCAGCGCCCCGAAGTAAACTGACGACCGAGGAAGACGCTCGCCATGTCCGCGAAGGCCCAGCGTTGCTTGGCCACCCTCACTGGTTCCCGGAGTGCAGGACCCGCAAGCGCCACCGCCCGCGTCGCGGCGGTAAGCGGCCTCCTCACCCCGAGTCGGGCCCTGCACCCGCAGCGACTCATGTCTGGCCTCATGCCTGGCCGCGCGTCTCCTACGGACGAGCTTTCAACAGTCAGCATTGAAGCCCGATTCTCTTAAGACCACGCGGCAGTCGGGGGTGGGCCGGGGGTGTCCGCCTGGGCCACTGGCTCCGGCTTAGACACGAGCCACTAGATCCACGGCCCACGACTAACAAGGGCTCCCGAGGCCGCCCGGAAAGGCCGCAATCCCCTCAAGCAGCTTCCTATATAGCCACCTTGCGTCACAACGAGGTCGCCCCGCCCTTTCATTCTATTGGGCAAGGGAGAAGGGAGGGGCGTGACCGCTTCCTGCCGCGAACTAGCGGGAGCGCGCGTGGCGGCTCTTTTCGTGGACCGGTTGTGGGGAGTGGTGCGCGTGCTGTAAAACAGGCGCGCGCCCGTAGGCGCAATGGGACCTCGCTCCGCCGCGTCAGGCGAGCGAGCCAGCTCTACGTGGCGCGGGAGTGGCGTGGGAGTGGCGCCAGAATTCAAACCAACAGCCTCGATTTTGACTTGGCCGTCTCCGGCCCAAAGTCAGCTCCGCCTACGGCCGACTGGGGCCAGGTAGGGGCGGGAGTCCTGCGGTTTCACTCCGGCTGCACGGGCTCGGCGCGTGGAGCAGGGAAGTTGCCCGCAGCAGCGCAGGGTGGAAAGCCGGACAGCGCTCCACCTACCGCGTTGACTGCCCGCCATTCTCCAAGCCCGTGTGCCGCGGGTGAGAAAACAGGCCTGAAGCTGCTGAGGTCACACAGCTGCCTTGCTTTGCTACTTTCAGTTTCTTTGTACTAAATTACACAGAACGCAGGAGGGAGATTAATTTGAGACGTATCGTAAGATAGTTTATCCAAACGGCAAGCTTTAAAAACTCGAAAGTTATGCATTCGTTAATTTGGACATATGGGTGAATATACGTGTGCGTGCACACAGGACGTTTGAACAATTCAGCATTTGAAAAATCAAGTCTTGATTTCCTTATTTCATAGCACTTACTTACTGAAATTGTCTGCATCGTTCTTCTTCCCTCTTAGAACCTGTTTGAGGAACACTGGTTTTTGTGTGCTACTGTTTATTTTTCAGGATTAGAACAGAGCCTTGGATGAAGTAGGCTGTTGGTAATTATTGGTTAAAGGAATGAATGAATCAATGCACCTACTTGGAAACTTTTTAGAAAATTAGAATGAAGATCAAATTCCAGATTAAAAGATAATAGTGGGCTAGGCGCAGTGGCTCACACCAGTAATCCCAGCCCCACCCAGGTGGGTGGATTGCCTGAGCTCATAGGTGCGAGACCTGGTCTCTAAAAATAGCCGGGCGTTGTGGCGGGTGCCTGCAGTCCCAGCTACTTGGGAGGCTGAAGCAAGAGAATCGCTTAAGCCCTGGAGTTTGCGGTTGCTGTGAGCTATGACCCCAAGGCAGTCTATCGAGGTACAACAAAGTGAGACTCTGTATCAAAAAAAAAGATAATAGTATAAAGCAAATTTTTTGAAACAGAAACCTTAAATGATATTTACTTAACTAGACATTATGTCATTTTTAAAATATTGTTTTGTAATTTGCATATTGCTCATAATGAAAAAAACCCCTAAAACAGTACAAAAGGACATAAATAAAAGTACCTTTCCACATCCCTAGAATTTTTTCCCCTAGTTTTACTCTCTAGCAGTAACCAATTTTAAACGTTTTTGAAACTTTCTATGCACACATTTTTTCACATACAAATGAGATCCATATGCTTTTCTGCAACTTGCTGTTCCTTCTCATAAATATCATAGACATCTTTCCATATCAATATATGTAGGTGATGTTATTCTTATAGCCTGCCTGCTATTAATCTGGAGGTATCGTCATTTTTTAAATCAAAGTTTTACTATTTCAAGCAGCTTTGCGGTGAATTATAGATATAGTAAGCTTGTGAGAATGTATCTGCAAGGTCAATTTCTAGAATTGAGTCAAAGTTTATACATACTTAAAGTTGTGATATTGCTTGTTTTCACCTTTTCTCTATCCTCAAAAAAGGTTGTGTGTTATATTTTTAAGAGTGTTTTGCTTATTGAAAAACACAATTATTACATGATTACAATTGAGAACTAGTATTATCTTTGTTATCTTTGAATCACTGCTGTGCTGAAGGTGGTCAAAATCACCTGGTAAAAAGCCATATGAAACACTGATTTCCTACCTTGACTTACCAATTGAAATATGGTGACCTAAAAATACCACATTTCTGGGTGCCAACCTGGAACTACCAAAGCAGAATCTCCAAGAGTGGGACCCAAGAATCAACATTTTAGATAAGCATCAGAGTCAATGCTGTCCAGTTAAAATATAACATGAACACAAATGCAGGGTGCATAT